TATATATGATATAATGATGCATCAGGCCACAGTCACACATCTGCTCCTATTCCTTATTTGAGGATACTAGGTCTGTCCTGTGAAGGTGCACAGTTTATCTAATTTGACTAAACCTCTTTCTAGGTGCAGGAGTTCGAGCATGTGAACGGGAAGCTGAGTTCTCCGGATCTGATTCCCATCGGAATGGAGCTGAAAAAACTGACGGAGAGCGTCTCCTCCGATCCCAACACCCCTGTGCCAGCGAGCCCTGTCGCCACTCAGCCCGGCACCCCCGTCCCTCCAGGTCGGAACAAAGCGTTTCACCTTTCTCCCGCTCTTAACTTTAAGCTCACAAAGATTCAAAAAAAGATGGAAGTCTGAGTTAATGTTGTTTTCTGAACTGTAGAGAAGAGCGAGTCTCTACTGGGGAACGCAGAGGACAAGGAGACCACAGAGCAAGACAGCAAGAAACTGTCAGAGCAGGAGGTGAGTTCTTCCCTCCACCACCCATCACTTTCATTCTGTTCTCCTTCGTCTCTTCCGTCTGCTCATGCTTCATTACGCTTTAAAACCACGACACGTGTTGTCTCAGAAGGCACCGTTTGTCAAACTTCGACACCTTTTAACTTGTCTCTTTGCCCTCTACCAACTTTCCTCTCCCTCCCACGACCGTCCTCGCTGCTTCTCCCTCGACAGACCTCCAGCTCGGAGCCGGCATCTGTACCTGAGAAGGTAGCTGACAGCGAGGAGAGCAAGGCCAGCTCAGAGGAGAAAACGGGAGATGAGAGGGACAGAACCGAGTCGCCCTCCACAAAGACGGAGCCATCTGCCAACCCCAAAGAGTCGGCTTTGAAGCAGGCAGAGCTGTCATCCGCTCAAATCTCACCTAAAAGTGAGTGTTGCACGATCCTTGCTGCGGATTTTTTTCTTTTTTCTTTGTGAGAGTTTTTTAATTTCACCTTAAATGCCTCTTTTATCCTCAGTGGATCCCTGCAGAGACTCAGAAAAAGGAGATAATGATTTTCCTCTAGCAAAAAGTGAAGACAAGGAAAATAAGCCAGGTATGCGAACTACTGATCCTTGAATCATCGCTGATGTTCGTGCTGCATTTGTTCCTCTTTGAATCGATTCCTCTGTCCTTACTGTTGCAGACGACGTGAAGAGCGAAGACGCGTTGGAGGGTCGGTTAAACGGAGACAAGGACACTTTGGAGGAGCTGGACGAGAGCAGGAAGGAAGACAGAAATGGATTCAAAGCCAAGTTCATGTTTAATATTGCTGATGGAGGTTTTACAGGTAAGAATAAGTTGAAGTTTTTATTTTAAACCCCTGAACAAACCAGGAAATTACCAAATAATATGTGTGAATAAAGAAAACGTGCTTCTGAAACTTTTGACTCATCAGCTCCACAGTTTGATGTTTAAATTATAACTTTATTTTCGTAATATTACAACTTGACTTTCATGTGAATTACAATTTTATTCTTGCAGTATTTTGTCATGATTCTTGAAATCTCTGAATTTCTTTTTTTGAACATGGCCCCAGTACGACGTAGTTAATAGACGTATAACGTGTTTTACTTGAGTTTTAAATCTGGTGTTGAATGTTACATTTAAATCTGTTGGAATAAACTTGAATCTCATGTTAGGCACTGATCTAAAAAAGACAAAAAACAGAAGCTTGTGTTCTTAAAAGCCTCTGACTCATTTCCATAATGTTGTTGTGTGATATTGTGCAGCTGAGATTTAATCGGGGAACTTAAATGATTTTTCTGTAGTTAAGAAACGGAGCGATAAGGCAATTGTGATGTTATCTAGAGGCAAACGAGCAGACAGTGAATAAAGGAACAACTGGCACGACAACGTGACAGCACTTGAGTTGATTTCACTCAGAAACATTTTCCTCACAGCTGGAAGCTCTTCGCCTAAACATTTTGATTTCATGACTCTCGTCTAAATTTAATAATATCACGTCCTCCTGCCAGACTTTGTTTTGTTTAATCTCCTGAATTTGTCTGAACAAAGGTTGTTTATTTCAGGCGCCATCATGAAGTGGCTGTGTTTTGTCATCCATCTTGATTGTGTTGCTAATGTGCTCTTCGTATGCTGCAAACATCTTGAATACCACTTTTGTGTATTTTTCTTTGCCGTCAGAGCTGCACACCCTGTGGCAAACTGAAGAGCGAGCCGCGCTGTCCTCTGGAAAGATGCACGACATCTGGCACCGCCGCCATGACTATTGGCTGTTGGCTGGCATCGTAACGTATCCTTTCCCAGATGTGCGAGCGAGAGGCTCAGCATCTGTGCTAAAGTAATGGAGTTACTCACGGCCAGAGGGCAGGTGCAGTGGAAAGGAGCGATTTAAAACTCCACGGAGCCGTCTCGCTGTTTTATTTGAAGAACTTTATGAGGTTTCTGTGCTTCTGTTTGTTTTTATTCCCTGACCCTGAATCCGCCTCAGACACGGCTACGCTCGCTGGCAAGACATTCAGAATGACCCACGCTATGCTATCCTGAACGAGCCCTTTAAGACTGAGATACATAAGGGCAACTACCTAGAGATGAAGAACAAGTTCCTGGCTCGCCGCTTCAAGGCAATCCCTGAGTTTTTCGTAATTAAAATCAACAACTGAAAACAGACGAGTTCAAGGATTAAAGGATTTGTTTTATCTGAACGCAAAACGTGTTTCAAGATGTGTTTTTCCTCTGCCCTTCGCCTCTGTGCTTCACGCTCTCTCTCTCTCTCTCTCCCCCTGAAGCTGCTGGAACAGGCTCTGGTGATCGAGGAGCAGCTGCGGCGGGCGGCCTACCTGAATATGACCCAGGACCCCAGCCACCCGGCCATGGCTCTCAACACTCGCTTTGCTGAGGTGGAATGTCTGGCCGAGTCCCACCAGCACCTGTCCAAAGAGTCTCTGGCTGGGAACAAGCCGGCCAACGCCGTGCTGCACAAAGGTCTCACAAATAGCAACAGATATAATGAATCTCTGCCTCGTCTGCCAGAGGCTAGAAAACAAAATCTGCATGAAATTAATTTAAAAGATGTATCTCCTGGAATCTCTGTTGCTGCCGTGTGAGGAGCTGAAAAGATGCTGTTTGACACAGAGGCATCATTTTATGTTTATTTCCCTCATCGTCAAATCCACATGCTGACAGCGATTAGTCGGGAGTTTGGAACGAGGCCGAGATGAAATGCTGAAGAGTTCAAATGTTATTGTTTCAAAATGTTGCCGTCTGTGACCCTCGCTGATTCATCTGCCAGGGAAAGATTTTATGGCATTTAGTTTCTGGCAGTTGTTTATTTCAGGCCCAAGCTCCCCTAATTAATTTTTCTAGTGATTTCAGTTCGCTCTTTAATTGTAAAGATGATTTCTCAAAACTTTTCCCTCTCTCTGATGCGTTGTGTGTCCCTCTCTCTGATGTGTTGTGTGTCCCTCTCTCTGACATGTTGTGTGT